CTCGCATTTTCACTTACACTGGTAAGTTCTTAGTTGCCCGAGGCATCTGCACCCGCACCTCATCTTCCTCCTCCTAGTGCTCGCAAACAACTCCAACCCTGTTTGCATTGGACTTTCTCCCCATCTTTGCATGCGGCGTCGGCGACAGCGCCTGTGTCGCTTCGTCATTCCTCTATTGCCTTCTCCAATTTTGCTCTTGTGTCTACTGGATTTCATTCCCTCTCCCCTCTCCCCTGCCTTCTCTACAGATCATTCGGCTGGAGAGTCAAGTGAAGCGATATAAAACCAACCTGGATGATGCCGAGAAGAAGGAGGAACAGTTGAAACAGGATCGCCGCAAACTGCAGCGTGATGTGAGCATTCTTTTTTTGTGTGTGTGCGTGTGCGTGCTTGCTTGCTTGCGCGCATATTTGTCACTTTGATTGTTGCACAGGAAGTCATTACTGCTGTTGCTGTGGCTGCGGCCTCCGTCAGAGCACATTTTGTTAGTGCGCAGGAACCAATGGTATCGTGACAGCTACGTGGCGGTCTTAGTTACGTTGGTCCGCAGCATTGGAACTGATGAACCTAACAGTATGGGTGGTACCTCTCAACTCTGTAATTACTTAATACGCTTCTATGGCTTGACGGGGTTGGTACTGATGAGGTTTTTCGTTGTTATCGTGTCTGAAATAGACGGGGGAGATTAGATAGAAAGACAATGCCTCAAAAGCATTTAAGCCATTCCGACGGATAATTCTAGCGGATGTTCATTTAGGTCGGACGGAGAACTCTACCGACTGGCCATTTAGGTCTTCATTTCCCTGCTGTTGGCGGAATGTTTAAATTGAAAAGGTGGGAGTTTTGGATTTCCGTGGCCCAGCAATTCGTAGACCTTATCGCGACTGAGGTTCTTCTATCTTTATGTGGCCAGGAAAACAGGTAGCTGTGCAAAACAATGCACCGAGTCGTGTCTAATCTATGATAACACCGGTTCGGCTGCTATTTCCTCCACTTTGTGTCGTTAATACCACAAGCTCTGAGCCTATTCCCGACCAGTCATAGCTCGAATTTGGGAACAGGTTTTCTCTTCTTCAATTGGACTGCACTATAAATTCGTAAGAGACGAAGGCCAATTGCTGGTCGTGCCCCGAAGAGGAAAACAGTTGCAGCC